GGCGACCGGGGTCAAGCGGTGGCAGCCGCTCTGAGTGCGGCATTCTCCTGAAGCAGCGGCTGCTGTGACTCCAGGAGTTGCTGGGGAGAGCAGCAGCGTTGTAGGCTTTGCTGTGGTGCATCCAACAAGCTTCCTCCTCGTAGCCCCAACAAGAGCCCACGGAAGGCCCATGGGATGCATGTACACTACAGCTGCGTTGGTGTTGCGGGCTGCGGCCGATGGAGGAGGCAGCAGCCCGCAGCAGCTTGCTGCCTCTGGCTGTTCTCCTTGCTCTGCTCTAGCCCAGCCCCCCCAGCCTTACAAATACCACGGGGATGCACGCATCACCATGAGGGGGGCTCAGCGGCCTCCTCGCTTCCTGTTGTCTACGGGAGAAGGCGAAAGAGGCTTTAAATCAAATAGTTGTTCAGGACACAACAACCTGAGAAAGATGGGAAGATTTTGCTAGTTCCAGGGCCCGGTACAGGAACGCCAAGCCGGGGCCCGCAGCCCGAGAGGCCCCTTCGGCCCCGCCTCTGTGCTCCCGTGGCCCAGGTGTACGTACACTTAAGCAGATCCTGAACGCAGATAGAATACAAGGTGGAAGTTAAAAAGATCACGCAGACAGCCCCTTCACCACCTTAAATTAACCCTCCACCTCTGCGGGCCCACACCGACCGGGGGCCTCCGCATGCACACGGGGCCCGTATACGGGCGCGATGTTCTCCTCTTTTTTTACTGCACTTTTGTTATTCTAATAGTTTATCCACTGCTGAGGGCGCGATACAGGCGCTACACTCGAAAGTGAGGCGATTGCTTGCTGGAACTGCCAGGAGGAGACTGCCACGGTGGAGCTGTTTTGTGGGTTGTTGTCTGCTGTTCTTGTTTGTCGTTGTGCCTGTCTCTGTGTCTGTGCCTGTGCGTTTAAACTGTTTCACTCATCACAGCCTCCCTGGCCGGGCCCCGCTGAGGGCCCTCTTGCCTCGTGCACTCCCCCTTCCTCTTCTCCTTATATCTCTGTTACGTTACTCACTAGCGAGAAAAGAAACTGCTGCTGCACAAATACCTCCGTGCTGCTTAAAAGTAACAGATGCCAGGCCAACCGATTTCCTTTAGGTGGTTATTATGCATCAGGTGGTCAGCCTCAGGGTACCCTGTGTTTTCTGTCGCGTGTAGTGCTGGTACTAGTTTATGCTGACGTAGAGCTATAGAGGTAGACAGGAGCTACTGGACCCTCCGCTGCTAAAACCTAAACCCTGATATCGTCTAGATCACTCCCCTTGGGACTCAACACCAACCAGAAGAGACCATACGACGTACAATGTGGGAATCGGCCATCAGCGCCAGAGATATCCTGTTGCAAGCCCAGGGCTCCTCAGGGGCCCCCGCGGGGACCTCTGGAGCATTGGGGCCCCATAATCCGTGGGGAGTTGGTGGCGAGGCTGGGGACGCTCTACGGATTCACCAGCAGCAGGAGTTGCATGCAGCAGCTGCTGCTTCGCGCTTGGCCTTTCCGCATAAAGAAGAAGGAGCGGGGACAGCAGTATGGATAACCCCGACGCCGGGACACGTAATTAAGGCGCGAGTCAAAAATGGCCAGAAACTTTTTCTTAACATCTGCAGCCACCCACAAATAGAGCCGTGGCACTACAAAGAAGTCCTTTCTGAAGAGGGGCAGGGGCCCCAGGGAGGGCTTCGTATCCCGATGAGTATAGGCCCTTGTCCGTTTTCCCAACATAAACCCTAAGCCTTCAGCGCACAGAGGCACCAGCACGGTTAAAGGTTAATCAGCATGCATGCGTTCTGCGGCATTCTACCATAAGCGGTAGCAACGCAAGAGCAGAGACAAGTGCCTTCCTGTGCTGGAGAGGTTCAGGTGTACAGACACATGATAAGGAAGGCGCTGCTGCTCTTTGTTGCGATGTCGTCTTCAACAAAGGCAAGGGCTATGCACAACCAGGGCGTTTGCACCCTTGTAGTGAACAGGCTTCTGCGCTGCATGCTGCAGTTGCATCTTATTCTCCCTCCCCTCTCGGTAGCAGCTCCATCATCCTGCTGCCACCGG